ACATGTACATACACACATAGAAGTTAATAATAATAATAATAATAATAATAATAATAATAATAATAATAATAACTCAATTCATAATTATAATAATAACTCTATGAACATAAATCGAACATATCATTGAGAAGGGAGAAAATTAAAATATACATCGTGTACAATTAGTATTTTTGATTGGAATAGACATGGCAGCAATAAAATATAGAACAATTCAAGTTTTAATGGATCAATGTATAACATATTAATTTATTCAAAATTTCTGTTTATTTACATGCTAAATATGATTGAAGGAAACGGCCCCGACTGCAAATATATCGAGATATCTTCCCACCGCGTAGGAAGCATAATAATAATAATAATAATAATAATAATAATAATAATAATAATAATTCTTTCGCTGAAAATTCAAAATAAAATGTAGACTGACCTATAAGAAGTGGAGATGTGTATGGGAAAATTTCGATTGAACAGTAATAATATTAATGCGATGTACTGAATTCATGTGTTTTTTTAATCGGTGCTTTTTGGTGAGGGACTCGTATTTACGCTTTCCACCTCAAACAGCATGCATGCGTCTGAACTGGGAGTGAGGTTATTCACTTTCTTTATCGCCCGTGTTCATTTGGGACGTTCTCTTTAATTTCTGCCCCGAAACGGAAAATTAGTGCTTTATTTTTGCCCTGTACGTACAAGGGTTTTTAGTGTAGTAAAGTTTGCCCCCTTCGGCTTTTCTTCCTAGTGGAAACTTGCAGGTTATGTGGTACCTGCCACATGAAGTGACATCCTTATCGGCAGAAGCTGGCTTGACGGGCGGTCTGGATAGTGATAACGAGTGTGGACGCAGTGTGACGGCCCAGTAGGATTTCCTTTCGTACTGTGTTAGATGCTTAGTGCTTCAGCACTGAAAGCGTATGCTCGAGTAGAGGTTCGCATTGGTGTGACTATGCAGAATGAGGTTGTCTGTGTTTCTAACTTTGCATTATTTGAAGACAGCCTGATCCTTTGGAGGAACATAATGCCTCCATCTTCACGGTCGAAGAGTAAACGAAGCTGTAAATTAGCAGAAACAGGCGGCAATCTGAGTTGAGGATGATTATTTAAAAAGGATGCGAAAGGAAGAGATCCTGGCTTGATTTGAAATATTATGTTGGCATTTTCGTAGGACAGCAAAATCATGGAAACTTAAGTCAGAACACTCGGTGTGACTTATGAGATACTGACTAACCACGTCCCAACACATATCAGAAGATTTACCGCTTTGGGCATCTCGCTTAATAGCACTGATAGTTTTGCATCGTCACCATATTTGTAATTTTAATATATGCAGATCTGATTATGAATTACTCGTATTTTACGACGATACCAGTATCTAGATTATATATATACTGGATGAATCGATGATTTCTAAAAAAAAGTACTTAGAATATTGAAAAGTACTTAGAAACAAAGGTTTCTGGCCTAATTGAGGAACTATACTGGAATTTACCTGGGAGGACTGAGAAAAACCACGAATGATATCACGATATCCGGTGCTCTGGCCGAGATTCGAACCGAGCACCTTCTCAGTACACGTCGAGGGCTTTACCGCTACACCAGGCTGTCTGGTAATATGCACTGTAGTTGTACAAAGAATTGTCTACATGATAATTTTAATGCCTAGCTCAGACTAAATTTTTACATGCACTCTGGAACGGTTCTTCAGTTACTGCGTTAATATTGAAAGTTAAACATGGATTTCGCTCAGTAGTCATAGTTAACTTTTTTGCCTTTGGCGCTACAGCCCCAATTTGGGCCTTGGCGTACCTCTATGAAACCCTCCGTTTCACTTCGGTTTACTAGATCTTAAATATTCGGTAGGACTCTTTGGGCGGGTGATCAGCTCGTCGCAAGGCCTCTACCCGTACACAAGCACACACTCACATACACACACACATAAACATTAAACATCCATGTCCTGAACGAGATTGGAACCCACGATTCCGTCTTCCGAGCGACCTAAGACAGTGCATGCCTTAGCCCGCTCGGCTACTGTGACCGACTATATTTAACTTCAGGACCTATAAAAAAAATGAGATAAAAGTAAAACGTTTTTGGAAATTTTGCCGCTCTACTACGAAACGAAAAGATTCCGGCTGTGAAGGCGCCAATTTTGTTCCCAATAGAAGTCTCTGTTAATATTGTATAGTATTTTCTCGAATACCATGTACAAGAAGTATGATTTTTCTCAAAGCAAGGGAAATATGTATAATCTGAAAGTACGTACATTTTGGTTTTCACATAGACTTATAATAACAGCAGATGCTCTTTAACTCAGGTAACATTATATTGTATCAGGACATTATGGTATGAATTTGAAATACCAGAATTCATCAGAACACATTGCTTTATGCCGACTGATAGATGCATTTCAGTGATGCAGTTACGTTACAAATATTTGAAAAAGGCCAAAAAATGGGGGAGAATATTTTGTTACAGTTGCATTATAGTCTCTGAACAGAATATTGATTTTAACTTATGTCAAAATTTATTGAAGGTTAATAAAAATATTTTTCACATATATTCCGGAACAAGTATTTTTATGTAGGGCAAAGGAATTCTATTGTATCAGATATATTTTTAATCGTAAATTACTAAAACTATTACAAAAAAAGCTGTTTTATATTCATGCTTAGCTCTATTAAAAGAAATACATATAAAAAAGCGTTTAATTTAAGTGTATTAATTTTATTGAAGACAATCGAAAGTTCTGTGTTCAAAGCTACATAGGTCCTATGAAATAAAATTTACAGTTTCTTCTTACTCATTTCTGTTCTTTTCAAAGATAAGAGAATTACTTACATGCAGATGGAGGGACCAGGTGTACATACGATATGAACTATCTTTCTATTAATGCCGCTAATAAATTAAAATGAAAAATCTCATGTGTTTCCTAACGTGCAAGTAGCATAAAGTTTCTTTATGTCTGTAACCTAGTATCAGGAACTTGTAACTGGGTTTCTTTCTAAATTTCTCTAATGCAAGAGACGGGGTTGTTTTAAGATTACGCTTAAATGAGTTTAATAAAGTCTCGTATCGGAAATTGCATCGAGCTATGTTTTATATCCCTGAGATGTTTAAAAGAACTTCCTTCAAATTAATGTTTATTTTATTTTTATTTTCTCGCCTTTTGCCCCAATTTTGAAGCACAGGGCTGATTTCTCAGTTTCATCATCATTTTTTGCGCAGATGGTAGGACCCCTCGTCGCAAGGCCTCTGCCTAAACGCAGGAAAACATAAACACAGAATAAACGCATACACACACCAAATATCCATGCCTTGTGTGGGATTGGAACCCACGATCCCGGCTTCCGAGCGAGCGAAGACAGTTCATGCATTAGACCGTTCTCATACCGTGACCGGCTTATTTTATCTTACTGTATCAAAATATTTAAATAAAAGATAAATGGATATACGAATGTATAGACGAATGGACCGGTGGATGTATACAAGCGGACGAAAATAAATGAGGAACACAGCTGTATGGATTTTAATCCATTTGTTTCAAATTACTTCTGTTTTAAGTATGTAGTCGTCTTTGTTTCCTTCCTCAGTATCATCAGTCGTTCTATAATTTTCACCATCAACATTCATGAATATTCACATGATTTCCCCATTTCCCTTGTAAATCGATTTTACTCAGTTGCTCATAAAATTGAGATCCATTAAATATAGTTGCAATGTGGAGCTAATCACCGACCTGCTTAGCATAATGAGATTAAAAGTTGTGGACATTTATCTACACTTCTCTTATACGTCTTCGCAGCTTTATTCGAGACGTCTCGTATTCGAATCTCGGTACAAAAATCGGTCATAGCGAGAGGTTTTTCGTAGCTTTCCTTAGACCGTCCAGGATAGATTGAGATCGTAACATACATACGCTACGGACAATTTCTTCCACAAAAATTCGACATTCGCACAGTCACCCTAACATTCGTAGTCTAGAGGGGTCCTTTGATAGCCTAGGAATCATATTAATTCATGGTGTGCTTGTGTTATAACTAAGTAACTGTCTGATTAGCCAACTGTAAAGTAAAAAGTAAGTAAAAATATCCCTGTACCAGGCCGTGGAGGCCCATAGGATTGTGAGACGTTGAGGGTCCCACATTTTCTAGACAATCGGCTCAAAGATGACGGTAAGGTTATGAGCCCTAGGCGCCGGCTGTCCTTTACCCCCCAAGAATATTTCTGGTACTCACTTCCGTCAGAGGCTGAGTCGACCCCAGGACCATAGTGCAGTTGGAAGAACTAGGTCAATTGAAAAAAAATCCAATGACCTCATCGGGACTGGAACTCGCGACCTTCCGGCTTGTAGCACAATGCTTCAACCAACTACGCTACCGCGTGCCCACCTGATTAACCAACTGACTGATATTAATTAATTATTTAAATAATTAATTTTGGGGCACTAGGTAGCGTAGTTGGTTGAGGCACTATGCTAAACCCGGAAGGTCGCGGACTCGATTCCCGATGAGGTTATTGTATTTTTCAACTGACCTAATACTTCCAGCCGCACTATGACCCTGAGGTCGGCTCAGTCTCTAACAGAAGTGAGTACCAAGAATCATCCTGTGGGGTAAAGAGCGGCTGGCGCGTGAGGCTGACGACCTTACCACCATCCTTTAACCGACTGTCTAGAAATTGTGGGAACCTCGACCTCTCACAAACCTATGGGGCTCCACGGCCTGTTACAGAGGCAGCTTTACCTTTCTTTTATCTAATTAATTTGCTGACCGACTAATGCTGTGGTAACATAACCATGAGAATGTTACACGTCGCTTGTGCCCGTAGCTCCCCGGTATTTTTCTAGATTACTGCACTTCTCGCAGATTCTAGTTGCATGGCCACCTTTTGCCAGCGGTTGCAGAGTGCCTGCTCCATTCTACAGCCTGATGCGTGTGTAAGCGCATGCCCGTTTGACGGCGGTAGGTATTGTAGTCTGGTGGATGTGGCTTGCAGCGTCGGGGAGCGGGGAATGTCTGCGAGGAGGAGACTTGTTGTGCCGTGGCGTACACACACACTCGGTGGACCAGTGGTGACAGGTGAACGCCTGACTTCCACGTTGTTTTGTTTCAAGACAGTGAACGCTCTTCTCGTCGAGTATCTAACAGCTTGGTGCTGGAAGTGTGATATTGAACGTGTGTAGTTTCTTTCTTCACGTTGCCGGAATATTCATACTACCGTGAATACGTCTATATATAAAACATTTAGAATTGTAACGCGTGATAACGAAAATGTATTTTAGTGGTTTATTTTTGAACAGAATTTGACTGTTAAACTCAATTCTAAATAGACGAAATCTGCATATCAAGTAATATCCGTAATTCTGATGTAAATCAATATTTACTGTGGCAAATTATACAGGATACATCAGATTTACAGCTTTTTAAATCCATTCTTTATTAATAAGTAGGTTAATATTTAAAACTATCTATGTACCTTTGCAGCAAAACTTTTGTTAACATATATGAAGACAGACATGTGCAAAGAATAAGGACTGCACTTCGATTCTGTGACTAGCGTGTAGTGTGCAGAATGGGACAAATCGTGGTCGAATCGGCCATGGGACAGATTACCCAAAGAGTCGGCGTGTTTGTTCATTAACTGTGTAAATATTTGCTTTATTGTACCTGTTATATACTGCTCGGAATTCCACGTAATGGTTGGCGCATCTAAAGGTACTCTCGTGACATGAAGTTTATTTAATAGATGCAATGATCTCGAACTGAAATAATCGTATATAATGCAAATGTTGCATGGATTCATGTAGCCATTGTTAGTAAATATGCAGTTTATAAATGTGTAGTGCAGTGTGGATTTTACATGTTCATAAACTGTGCAAGAATTATACTTAAAACTCTTGCTAATTTTTATACACGAATACAGTGCATATTACAGCATCAAATTCGTGCTTCATTAACAACAGAAGTTATCAAGGTGTCTCATGACTGGTTGCGAGTGGAAGTCTGACACATGTTCTTCGTAATGCGATATGAATTTTGAATGCTCGTAAAGAATCATGCATAGGTATACGACTCTAAAATACGGGTTGAAAATAAGAAAAACGATATAGGACAGTGGTAGTGCGGGTAGGAGGAAAGTAAATGTTTAGCAAGAGACAGACGGGGGAGACAGGAATGGGTGAGAAGTAGTAGGAGCAAAATAAGAAACCTGCATTTCTCAGAATACGATGAAATATAAAGGAAGATCTTCAGTGAAAGATAAATGCCGACAAGAAATGATGAGTGAAGGATCGAACTGAAAATCGTAAGGATATCAACAAACGACAAATTGACAGTGATATATTTCAGATGAAACCCCCAACATGTAAAATGCATTATTTGTATATTAGGTTAGCAACGTGTGTAGTGGTGCATTTTAAACAAGAAAGCATTTGATATAGCGTCGTAATATAACTAAATCTAAGGGCGCATAGTACCTGACTGTATTTTGAGTAAGAAAGCAATGTGTAAACAGATTGTCGAACTCAGCCCCCCCAAAGCTGTGATGACGACAGGATCGTATTTTGCAAGTTATTTGATATGCATCTTAATCCCTACAGTACGTGTTAGTGTCTTATTTGTTACACAGAACGCGAATGAAAATTAATATTTGGATTAGACCTGCCATTCGAGACAAAAATCTGAGGGTCTGAGATAAACCGATGTTAAGAACAGACCGTCTTTGAACAAGTTTTTAAGATGCATGGAATTCCAAAGCCTTTTCGGAAGTGTAAGATTTTTCGCAAACGTATTGTATCATGATAAACGAATTTATTCACAATTTAAGCATTAACTCACTACGAAAAACAATGGACGTTTTGGCGGCCGACAATGAGACTCGTCAAGTTTCCTTGCCCTGGATAAATGCAGAATACGCAGATATTGACAACGCCTCAGCTTCAACAATAGAAGTGCTTGAAATTAACGGGTCCATTCTCGTTCCGAACTGTACCGACCTGACGTCGACTGGAGGAGCTGTTGATTTTGAAGCGGCGGCAAATGGCACTGAGGACGGTTCCGGCCTCTCTGCCGATGAATCCACGATGGAGCTTATCACCATGATAGCAACAGCTTTCGTCCTGGGACTTGTGATACTGGCAACTGTGATTGGTAAGTCCAAGGAAATTATTCACACTATTGACTTTTCTTGTTCAGTTGTTCAATCTTGGAAATTCCCGTATATTACTGCTTAGAAGACGGCATGTTGACGTTCACAAACATTTAAAACCGTTACAAATGCCAATCTGCTCAGTGGTTACATTCTAATTTTGAATAAAAGTTTATAATACGCACCCGGCAATAACGCCCACTCAGTATTTTCCCAGCGCACTCAAATCGTAATTTAATGCAATAGACTGGAAGTACAAACAGTAGAAAAGTGTTAGGGATTTGAAATAGCCCTAACTCAATTTCTAATGACACTTTCAATTTTCGTTTTACAGAAATTACATGGGCCAGCATTTAGTTTGATATTTTACAGGATATTTGTAAAATACCTTTTTCTCATCTAAAATACATCTCCAAATTACAACGTTGTATTTAAATATATACAACCAGAATTGTAATTGTAAACTTCTTTCATTCCCCTCGGCGCTACAGCTCAGGGTGAGCTTTGGCCTTCTGAACAATCTTCCTCCATTCCTCTCTGTTCTTCACCTTTCCTCCCTATCCTTTCACTTTCATATTATGGAGATCATCATGTACAGCCTCCAACTTTCGCTGATGTCTTTTTACGTTCAGTCCATTCATCCGAGGCTGATTATCTGGATTCTGAACAATTGAGTTTTCACAGCAACAGATTGTTAGCCTCACGCCCAACCCCCCAGCCTGGAGGACCAGAGTATCCCCCTTCGTCTGGCTCCTACACCTTGACCTGTCTGGCATGTGTGACTCTACCAGTTGCTACGCTACCGCCGGCATAGCTGTCAGGGTCTCAGGATCACTGAAACCCAGCCACCAAAATAAGGTGGAGACACCATCGGCGGGGTGTAATTGTAAACTATTGCGCTGTATCTGTGCAGCAATTTAGACATCCGCCTAATAGATATAACCGCATCTCAAAATAACTCTATAGAGACTGATATTTTTTTAAAAGTTGTTACCTATTCAGTTCGTCAAGAGATTATCCATCTCTTACGGAACCCAAAGGTTCGCCACAGTGTTCGCAGCTGCACATCTTGCAGCAGACAAATCAAGTCCACATTTTCCCCCTCTCGAAGATCCTTTTCAATATTATCATGTTATCTGCGCCTAGGTCTTGCAAGTGGTATATTCCTTTCAGGTTTTGCTGCTAAAATTCTCTATACTTACTCATGGAGCTGAGCCCTTCTTGAGGAGCCGCCAATTCTGCACCTACTCAAGAATTCCCCAGCATTTTATGGAACCCGAACGTTCATTACCTTGATCACAAGAGCCAGCCACTGGTCCCTATCCCCAGCCAGATCAATCCAATCCATATCATCCCATCCTATCTTTCTAAGATCCATTTTAATATTGTACACCCACCTACGCCAAGGTCTTCCCAGTAGTTTCTTTCCTTCTAAAATTCTGTATACATTTTCTATTTTCTCCCACGTGTGATACATACCTTGGTTTACTAAAAATGTTCATAGAGCAAGTTAATATCTATAAGCACATGGATAACCTCATCTCACTAAACTCTGGTTTGTGTATACTCCGTCTGTTAGCTAGTAATCCAACTGTTTCTATTTGTTACCGCCGTAGAGACGACTGCCGCCACCGGAAATTGACAGGCGGGCTACAGGCACTTGTTATGTAAGTAGGTTAATCTTCCAGATGCAATTTGCGTCAGTTGGCTCCTCTTACGTACATACAAGCTGGTTTGACTCGGGATTACACCTAAGGACTGTGATTTAAGATGATTATATGTACTTAAGGCCCCCTTAGCATTGTCGCTGGAACGAGAACTGTGCCCTGAACGCAAATCCCGGACGCATGGATTATTTTGTAGCTGTCAACTCCTTCAGATAAAGGAGAACTTGGCTTGGCGGTGACATTATCTGCTGGACGGAGGCTTGGCATGTAGTTCTGGAGCGAACAGTCGCGATTAAAGGGGGCGCGCATTCACGTTGTTCAAGTTGTACAAACGTCACAGTATCAAGAGTTGCATGAAAAGTAGTTGGGTGGAAGTCAACCGACGTTTCGGAGGAACATGTCTCTCTGCTTTCTGCCTGTTTCATGCTTGGCTCACTCTTTGACCCTGAAGATGGAGGCAACTTGTTCCTCTGTTGACTTTCACCGTTGTACACGACGTTATGTCCCAGAAGACAGAAATCTTGGTGAACGCCGCGGTGAGAACCGCAAAGTCATAGAGCGTTGCAGCAGTTTGTAAGAAGCTACATCTGTTAATCATTCCCTGTTCAGATTTTAGACGAAATTTGGATAGAAATTATTATTTGGACGTCGGCGTGTATCGGAAGCTAGTATTAAAATGAATCGAAAAGAAATATGGAGTGAATGTGTGGACTGGATCCATCTGGCTCAGGATAGTGTCCTGTGGTAGGCTAATGAGGACAGGATAATGAATCTTAAGGTTTCATGAAAAGAAGGAAAATTCTTCACCACTTGAGAGACTATCAGCTTCTGAAGAACGACTTTGCTGCTTGCAGTTATTACCGATGGATATTTTTGATTGATTCTTGAGATGTAGTCTACCAAAGTAGACTATTGACTACTGTAGTTTCATCAAAAGACATTTCAGATCCATTCCAATGTCTATACATTACAACTACCGTAACCACATTAACAAATTGCTGACTTGTTGAACCAGCCTCAGGTGTCTGTCGGCTAAGGTCGTCCTTGGTTTCGTGTTCCATTTGGTCTATACTTCGTCATTAATTACTGTATGTCTCTCTCTCTCAACCAACCAACAAACAAGCAAATACATTTCGTGGCCTCTAGTCGCAAGCGAACTATACCGACCGAGTGACCGCCGCTTGTCGGCGAAGTTAGTGCCAACTTTTGCGGATAGAGGGTGTCGCATGGTCAGAGCAACGGATCCTCACTGCCGTTAGTTTCTGTTTTCTAGATCGGAGTTGCTATTTCCTTGAAATAGCTCCTCAATTATCCTCATGACGCTAAGTGGACCCCGTTCCAGACCCACTACTACTCAGAAAATCTGGTAGCACCGGGAATGGAACCCGGACCTCTGGATATGGAGGCAGGAACTCTGACCACTAGACCACAGAGGCGGTCTGCCTCTCTCCCTCTGTGTATTATTAATTATTAATTATCTGTATTCCGTCAACGTGACAAATTCATTTTTTCTCTAGTCCAAAGAATTTGATCAGTGCAGATTCGACCTTCAGGTAATTAAAAATACCATGGTGTCTTTTGTGGTCTTTCCGTAGGGTAGTTCTATAAAATTAACAGCGTAGTGAATTCGTGTGTTCCTATGCAAGATTCCTAACCTAAACTGTTTTTTTTTAATTAAATCGGGTATCACAAATGTGGCAGTCAATGTAGTATAAGAAGCACAGCTTTGTTATCCGCAGTCTTCTGGCGCAGGAGGTGAGTCTATGTACTACGGCGTCCGGCAGAAATAGCTGGCCGTTCTGAACAGTTAGTTAGCATATCCACCACTACATTGCGCACGTGTCTCTGTTAATTAATATGTTGCATATTTAAAGAAAACGATGTACTTTATAATTCATATCTAATCTAAAAATTACATTAATATCATCACCCTACAAGTATTGTCATTTCGAAAACCATAAAATATTTCCGCCAGACTCGCGCTGCAGCGTAATTGGTTGAGGCACTGTGCTACAAGCCGGAAGGTCGCAGGTTCGAGTCCCGATGAGGTGGTTTGTTTTTCAATTTATCTAATTCTTCCAGACACGCTATGGCCGTGGGGTCGTCTCAGCCTCTAACAGAAATGAATACCAGGAATTCTCCGTTGGGGGGGGGGTAAAGGGCGGCCGGCAAGTAAGGCTGATAACCACACCGCCATCTGTGAGCCGACCGTTTAGAAAGTGTGGGAGCCTCGACGTCTCAAACCCTATGGGCCTTCCCGGCCTTTTACCTTTACCTCGAACAATAAGAAATAGTAACATTATTTGAAAGGGAATAAACGCATATTGACAGTAAGATTTTGTAGATGGATTGCCAAACTACGTCATACACGTAAGGTAAAGGTAAAGCTTTCCCTTTGCTTATCTAATTAATCACTACACCACGAAGGCGTGTGGGGAGTAGATGTATAGATACATATTTTTTTTTACCTCAGCACTAGCTGGAGGTGAGTGGTGAGCTTCACGCCCCTGCTGCTTTACCCCCAAGGAAAGAGGCTCAGGTACCCTTTGGATAGGAGGCTGACTGGACCCCAGAGCCGGTCTGGACCCTTCGGTCGTCGAGCCCGTAGCCAGTCGCTATACCAACTACGCTATCCCGGCTAGAAATGTACTTGTAGGTCTGCATTTTTATTTTAACGCATGAAAGTGACTGTAAATTCGCCGTGGAAGTTTATTGGTCGGTAGATGATGATGATGATGATGATGGGATTCAAACTGTGGTCTTTTGGGTTATTACACCATGTAGTCCGGTAACTGGGTACCAGTACTTCGGAGGAACATACTGTTAACTTCATAGTACCCTGAAGATGGAGGGAGTATATCCCTCGGAAATGTTGGTACCAATCCGCCAGATATCACGGTATTAAAATCCACAATTCCATAACGTGAATCTTTGCCGTCGTGCAAACATTGTATCTCCTGTGGCGGTAGGAGTGCTGTTTCTAAGCCTGCAAAAGACAGGTTTCAAAACCAACCGAACTTCAGGTCTTGTTAAGATGACACGTCCTCACATTCAGATCAATTGTACGTACCTGCATAAATCTGTTGTCAGAGCCATAAATTTGAAGCCAGGATGCAACACGCGAAGATAAGGCCATTAAAGTAGGAGAGGTATTGAATGACAGGTTATGTAAGTCTCACTCTTCCGCATGTGGGCAGAATGGAACATCTGTGTGTTTAGATGACTCAGCAATGTTTCTGCGTGGACAGTGACACTGTGAGTGAGTCGGCGAGTGCTTCAGCTCACCGCCCGAGGCTGGGACATAAAGCGTGTTGGTTCGATTGTCGGCCGGGGGT